TGGTAAGAATATGAAAAAATTTAAACCCTCAGTCAGGTGCAGGGTGTATGCCTATAGTCCCAGCTACTCAGGAGGCTGAGGCAAGAGAATCACAAGTTCAAGGCCAACCTCAGCAATTTAGCAAGACTCTGTTTCAAAATTAAATAAATAAAAAGAACTGAGCATTTAACTCAGTGGTAGAGCACTTGCCTGGCAGGTGTAAGGCCCAGGATTCTATCCGAAGCATAGAAGGAAGGAAAAGCAGAGGAAATGTAGATATCAGAATTTTCTACATCATATTTTCTCAAAGTATTTTAAAAATTTTTATTGACTTAAAATAATGTTACATATTTATGGAATACAGTGTTTGAGGCTTATGTCCTTGAGAAAATTTGTTGTGGCTTCTCTAAAATCTAGAAAACATAAATAACAGTGCATATTTCAAGCAACAATGAAATAACATTTCTTGAGTAACACAGAATAATCCCTGCCTGTATAAAAAGCCATCAGTAAATTCATTTCCTTCTATCCAGAGTCTAATATACTGTCACATGCATAATGATTAGAGTAGAGCAGAAATTGACTAAGATCATTAAGACTCTAGTACATGTGTGTGTAATTCTATGCATCATTAAGTACAATTGATTGACATTTCAGATCCAGAAGGTCATAATCTAGATAGGTAATTTTATTAGAAAATTTACCCTAAGAATACTCCTTCTATTCCTACTTCTGTGATCCTATCCACACCCACATTCATCAACTACCATGTCTTCATAATGTCGAAGAATGACATTGTCATTATTGTCTTGGTAGAGCATGGAAATGGGAGATAGTTTGGTGGGGATACAGACAGCCTGGGGGATCTCTGGGTCAACTGCATGCATCAGTGCTTGCATGAAAGCATAATTGGAACTATTTAAATAGGTGGTCAGAGCGAGGGGACAATCTCCATGGCAGTAATTTGCCATGAACCCTTTGGGGGCAATGATCCATTTGTGCCAACCTAGGTCCTGGAAGTTGATGAAGAGCTGGTGAGGTCGGCAGAGATTCTTGTGAGAAGCCTGAGGGACAGGAATGGCTGCCCTCCTTTTTCGGGAAGCAGAGTGGCACTGCTCAGGATTGAGGGTGACCACCAGCAGGGAAGCACGAAAGGAAGGTCTCAGTCTGGCACAGGTGGCCTCCATCTGGAAGTTTACTGCAAATTCTGTGTCTCCTCTGACCACAATCTCCAAGAATAAGCCAAGGTTCTTCTGGGGTTTGCTATTCCAATCCTTAACCACATCCAGTAGATTGAAGTGAAGGGCACCTTGAGGCCATGGTACAGACTGCAGGGCAAACATTTTACCTGGCTTGGGGATAGATTGCCCCCACACCTGAGGCTCTTGAATGATCCACAGAGCCAACTCCAGTTCTGGTTCCAGGTTATAGTAAGAATTAGGCCCCAAGTCCAGGCCCAGCTGAGCCATTGTTAACTGCTCCTTTTCTTTGATG